AAGTAACGTTTTCTGTGTCCCTCAGTAACAATTCTGTATCCCTCAGTAACAATTCTGTGTCTGTCCCTAAGTAACAATTCTGTGTCTGTCCCTAAGTAACAATTCTGTGTCCCTAAGTAACGTTTCTGTGGCCCTAAGTAACGGTTCTGTGGCCCTCAGTAACAATTCTGTGTCCCTCAGTAACAATTCTGTGTGTGTCCCTAAGTAACAATTCTGTGGCCCTAAGTAACGTTTCTGTGGCCCTAAGTAACAATTCTGTGGCCCTAAGTAACAATTCTGTGTCTGTCCCTAAGTAACAATTCTGTGTTTCTGTCCCTAAGTAACGTTTCTGTGGCCCTAAGTAAACGTTTCTGTGGCCCTAAGTAACAGTTCTGTGGCCCTCAGTAGTCAATTCTGTGTCCCTCAGTAACAATTCTGTGTCTGTCCCTGAGTAACAATCTCTGTGTCCCTAAGTAACGTTTCTGTGGCCCTAAGTAACGTTTCTGTGGCCCTCAGTAACAATTCTGTGTCCCTCAGTAACAATTCTGTGTCTGTCCTAAGTAACAATTCTGTGGCCCTAAGTAACGTTTCTGTGGCCCTAAGTAACGTTTCTGTGGCCCTAAGTAACAATTCTGTGGTCCCCTAAGTAACAATTCTGTAACAATTCTGTGTCCCTAAGTAACAATTCTGTGTCTGTCCCCTAAGTAACAATTCTGTGGTCCCTAAGTAACGTTTCTGTGGCCCTAAGTAACGTTTCTGTGGCCCTCAGTAACAATTCTGTGTCCCTCAGTAACAATTCTGTGTGTCCCTAAGTAACAATTCTGTGGCCCTAAGTAACGTTTCTGTGGCCCTAAGTAACGTTTCTGTGGCCCTAAGTAACAATTCTGTGGCCCTAAGTAACAATTCTGTGGTCCCTAAGTAACAATTCTGTGGCCCTAAGTAACGTTTCTGTGGCCCTAAGTAACGTTTCTGTGGCCCTAAGTAACGTATTCTGTGGCCCTAAGTAACAATTCTGTGGCCCTAAGTAACGTTTCTGTGTCCTAAGTAACGTTTCTGTGGTCCCTAAGTAACGTTTCTGTGGCCCTAAGTAACGTTTCTGTGGCCCTAAGTAACGATTCTGTGGCCCTAAGTAACGTTTCTGTGGCCCTAAGTAACGTTTCTGTGGCCCTAAGTAACGATTCTGTGGCCCTAAGTAACGTTTCTGTGTCCCTAAGTAACGTTTCTGTGTCCCTAAGTAAAGTTTCTGTGTCCCTAAGTAACGTTTCTGTGGCCCTAAGTAACGTTTCTGTGGTCCCTAAGTAACGTTTCTGTGTCCCTAACTAACGTTTCTATGTCCCTAAGTAACGTTTCTGTGTCCCTAACTCTCTCCCTGAATACAGCCAGGTCTGCCTCTGTTGAATGACTGGAGGCAAATGGAGAATTCTAAAATGGCCGCCATTTATAGCTCGACCATTACACAGTGCTGGCTGGCTGGCTGCTGATTGGCTAATGCGATCACATGTCATGAATGAATGCATTATGGGTCAGCGCGCCTTGTCTGCGTGCCTTCCCAGACATCCCCGCTCCGTCGCCGCACATGTCGCCGCCATTTTAGGAAAATTTCGATTCGCGCATCCGAAGTCTGCTTATTTTCGGATTCGGCGCGAAATTTTCCTAATATTCGAAACGAATTCACTTCGCCTAGTTCGATTCGCTTTCATCTCTAATCAGTGGTTCATATAGTGAACTCGTTGCAGAGTTATTCACCCTGAGGTCATCACAGAGGACAAGGGGGCACTCTTTACGTCTGGAGGAAAAGAAATTTAATCTCCAAACACGGAAAGGTTTCTTCACAGTGAGAGCAGTGGAAATGTGTAATAGACTCCCTCAAGAGTTGGTTCTGGTCAGCTCAGTTGATTGCTTTAAAAAAGGCCTGGATTCTTTCTTAGATACACAGACTGTAACTGGATACTAACATTTATAGTTAAAGTTGATCCAGGGAATATCCGATTTCCTCTCGGGGGATCAGGAAGGAATTTTTTTCCCTGCAAGAGTAAATTGGATCATGCTTTGTTGGTTTGTTTTGCCTTCCTCTGTATCAAGTGTGGGTGTAGGACTATATATTTTTTTTTTTAAATAGTTGAACTGGATGGACTTTTGTCTTTTTTCAGCCAGACTAACTATGTAACTATATATTGTCAGAGTTTGGATCTGAACCTCTGTGGTTTCTGGTTGTAGCACTTCTCATTTTGCCACCTGAGATGCTGCACAGCTCTCTAACTGATCTCTTAAAGTGGTAGCAAACTTTCGTTGTTTAATCTTGCTTACAGGTAAACTTATAATGTGCACCATTTAGGAGATATTCTAGCAAGCAGAAGCCAGTGACCTCACCAGTGCATGCGCTCTGAAGGAACTGACATAGACATGCCATTCCTTCAGAGTTGCATGCCTCAGCCATGCCATCATCACAGCTCAGCCATTCAAATGACCGCAGCCCACGAACCCGGAAAGAAGACCAGTTGAAGATGAAAGCCTCTGCAGCAGTGGCAGTGTGTCGCTGATGGGCTTTGTTTTAACGTAAGTTCTTCATAATGTGCTAGTATGCAATGCATACTAGCACATTATGCCATTGCCTCGCAGGGGGAAACTTTTTTTTTTTCTTTTTCAAAGAGTTTACTACTTTTTTAAGTCAATCTTGCCTTGTCACTTGTTTCTTGTGAACCTAGAACTATTCGCTCCTCCCATTAACTTCTTTATTTAAGCCATGTCTCTGTATTTCTTGTTTGCCAGATTATTGTGCTCTTTCCAGCTGATTTATTGCTCCTTTGCCTATACGCAGCTGTCCTTATCTTCACTATCACTCATTACTGACCTTTGGCTTGTTCCTCAACTACATTCTATTTGATCCCAACTTGCAACCTCTTGTTACCAAACGTTTGCTTGTTTACTTACTATGCGGCTGCTTGATCTCTACCTGCTATATTTGCTACTGGACCCTGGCTTCCTTTGCTCCTGGTGGGGCAAACGTGAACACTGAGACCTGTCACTAACACACAACAAAGCCCTTCTCCACCATCATGAGCTCTGGTAAATACCGGTTAATGCTTAGACCCCAAACCTTAGGTGATCCTGTGTTATCCGCCAGGGTGGCCTACTTGTTTACCTATCCAACTGGTTTTGTAGGAGCCTCTCTATTGCTTTAGCTACTGGTCTCTCAGCCTCACCCATGACCAAGACTGAATAATCTGGCCCAAACATGGAGGCTCCTATAGAAAATGATATGGCTCCTTTCAGGCAGCAAATTGAGTTTGGTGTTACCTATCAAGAAATATTTTCCAAACTAGAAAGTGTAGTGAAAGGACAATAGGAGATAATCCATGCTTTGAAAGGGAAAAAAGTTAAACTTATGTTCCTGTAATGATGCTTTCACACATATGCCCCTACCACTCAAATTCAATAGATACAACCACCATTATAGGGGTTTCCTTAACCAATGTCTCATACACATTCAAATGCAATTTGCTGCATTTACTTCAGGGAAAAAGAAGGTGTTGTTTGTTATCAACCTCCATACTCAGAAAATTCTAGCTTGCTCCTCCCCTTATATAGAACAAGACAGCACAACTCTGAATATTTTTGTGACTTCTGTGACTGTGATGAATTAAGTTTTTGATGATCTCAACCACTGCGCTACTCTCTGAACAGATAAAAGATGTAGGGACTCCTAATGATCTTGAGGTTTTCATTCAATTGCATCAGAATCTGAACTCAAATCTGAATTTCATCTTTTATCCCAATTGATCAGAGACTTACAGAAAGGAGGAAGGTGAGACTGGGAATGTTTGGAAGCAATGGTGGAATGCATTTCTTTGCTAGTCACTTTTCTGAAAAGGATCCAAAGGATCCTAAAGTTTCTTTGGATTCTAACATTGCTCACCACCTGATGTGGCGATTCTGAGGACCGCAACCTGGTACTAACATGCAGCAAAACCCATCTCCACCATCAGCAGCTCTGGTGAATATTGGTTAGAGTTTAGATCTTGCAGCTCAGGTGATCATCCACCAGGGTGACTATCTTGATAGTCAGTGGAAGCCTCCATATTGCTATAATGCCTGAGCCCTGACTATGACCCATATGTTGTAAATAAGGAAGCCACTTAGAACCAAAACACACATATCTCCATTTCTACTACAGAATCAAAAGGACAGGAATGCCTGATGTTAATAGAGTATTCTTTGAGGGGGCAATATATTATGCCCACTGTGCTTTAACACTCTTGTGAATGTGTGTGTGTGTGTGTGTGCATGTATATACACACATTGCCAAAAATATTGGGACGCCTGTCTTTACACGCACATGAACTTTAATGGTATCCCATTCTTAGTCCATAGGGTTCAATATTGAGTTGGTCCACCCTTTGCAGCTATAACAGCTTCAACTCTTCTTGGAAGGCTGTCCAAAAGGTTTAGGAGTGTTTCTATGGGAATGTGTGACCATTGTTCCAGAAGAGCATTTCAGAGGTCAGGCACTGATGTTGGACGAGAAGGCCTGGCTCGCAGTCTCCGCTCTAATTCATCCCAAAGGTATTCTGTGCAGGCCAGTCAAGTTCCTCCACCCCAAACTCACTCATCCATGTCTTTATGGACCTTGCTTTGTGCACTGGTATGCAGTCATCTTGGAACAGGAAGTGGCCATCCCCAAACTGTTCCCACAAAGTGGGAGCATGAAATTGTCGAACATGTATTGGTATGCTGATGCATTAAGAGTTTCCTTCACTGTAACTAAGGGGCCAAGCCCAACCCCTGAAAAACAAACCCACACCATAATCCCCCCTTCAGCAAACTTTACACTTGGCACAATGCAGTCAGACAAGTACCGTTCTCCTGACAACCGCCAAACCCAGACACATCCATCAGATTGCCAGACAGAGAAGCATGATTTTTTCACTCCAGAGAACACGTCTTCACTGCTCTAGAATCTAGTGGCGGCGTGCTTTACACCACTGCATCCGATGCTTTGCATTACACTTGGTGATGTAAGGCTTGCATGCAGCTGCTCAGCCATGGAAACCCATTCCATGAAGCTCTCTATGCACTGTTGTGCTAATGCGAAGGCCACACAAAGTTTGAATGTCTTTAGTTATTGTCTCCTTAGACAGTTGGTGACTTCTGCACATAGTGTGTTTCAGCATGTGCTGACCCCGCTCTGTCATTTTACGTGGCCTACCTCTTCATGGCTAAGTTGCTGCTGTTCCCAGTTGCTACCACTTTGTTATAATACCACTAACAGTTGACCATGGAATATTTAGTAGCAAGGAAATTTCACAGATGGACTTATTGCACAGGTGGCAACCTATCAGGGTATCATGCTTGAATTCACTGAGCTCCTGAGGGCAACCTATTCTTTCAAAAATGTTTGTAGAAGCAGTCTGCATGCCTAGGTGCTTGATTTTATACACCTGTGGCCATAGAGGTGATTGTAACACCTGAATCTAATGATTTGGAGGGCTGGCCCAATACTTCTGGAAATATAGTGTATATGCACATAGACACACTCACATACATTCCTAGGTGTGACCTTGCTTTAGAACACTATATTTTTTGTTTTATTCTTAAATATGTCGCTTTTATAACAGCACAAAAATTATGTTGAAATAAAGAAAAGGAAGGAAAAAAGAAAAGGAATTGCCAGTAACTGTGGTCAGAGAGCTGCGGGGAAGGAGGAAAAGCATCTTGTAGGCCACATACACTTTGCCATAGCTTTGTGATGCATAAAGTGTGCCACGTCTTTACAGTCCTTATCAAATTCAGTCCTAAGTGACCAGTATCAAGTGAGTAAGGATTCTCTACTCCCCCACTCAACACAACGACAGTGAGATGTACAGGTTATAGTAACCCACATTTCCTTTTTTAGATAGAAAGCTACCTGAAAACAAAATGGTTAGCGTAGATTTTTTTACCAATTCATCACTATTGCAACAGTAATAACTTTATCATTTAAATTCTAACAGCAATATCATATGTATTTGAATAATTTTAGTAGCAGCATTATGTTGCAGAGTTTAGCCTATGTATCCAATAAAGATGAGCGAAGTTCAATCAACTGTGGTTCAGCTAAACATTTAAAAAATTTGGAAACTTCTGAAGTCTTTTAAAGGCCCATGAGAATCCAAACCAGGATTTAAAAAAGTGTGTATTAGAGAATAACAAATTATGTAAAGTTTTGAAGAATGATTTGGGAAGTTCCTGAAAACTAGTTTGAAGAGATTATGGGATCAAAAACAGCCTGAGCAACTTCCTTTAAAAAAATCAGGGATGCTTAGATAACATTGTGGGCTTGTTGCAACTGATAGCCAAGCTAAGGATAACCAGGCAGCAGCAGAAGCGTATATAAGGCAGATACAGTTTTTGGAAAAGTTGAACCGCAAAAATGAACACAAATTTTGTTCGGTACTTCTAAATTCATAAAATTTGGTTGAAATCTAATGTTATAAAAATTTTTGTCAATTTTGATCAATTTTGGTATTGTCTTTTGAGAGGCAAGTAAAATAGATATAGTCAATCCTGCTTTAGATTAAAATATGGTAAGAATATTGAAATGCAGAAACAAAATCAATATTTAAGTGCTAGTTTTTGTGAAATCTCTATTAACAGATGTAAATAATATTGTAATTAGAAATATATTTTAGTTAGATGGGAATATATTTAAACTACTGAGATAAAGAGTTTTCCCTTATCACATCTAACATCTAACATGGGTTATAAACAGCAGCCTTAATGGAATCCTCTTATCAGGCTGCACCCCATATACATCTGCTAGGTATAGTGACCAATGAGGGTGCAATATATTAGCCAAAAATGTGTTCTGTGAATGTGAACACATAAGACACATATAGTGGGATTTTCTCAAATATGCCTGCAAAATGGAGAAATATGTTTTAAGGTTTTACATTTGGAAAAAAGAATTCCAATGGCTAATTGGTTAGCAATTCCACCTGACAGTATTAGGGTTGTTGGATTGAATCCCAACCACGACACTACCTGCCTGGAGTTTGCACGTTCTTCCTGTGCCTGCATGGTTTTCATCCCACACTCCAAAAGACATGCTGATAGGTTAATTAGATCCTGTCTAAATTGGCCCTAATATGTGTATGAATGTGAGTTAGGGACCTTAGATTTTACGCTCCTTGAGGGTTAGGGACTGGTGTGAATGTACAATATATACTGAGTAAATTCACAGAGCTACAGTATCTCACAGAAGTGAGTACACCCCTCACATTTTTGTAAATATTTTATTACATCTTTCCACGTGACAACACTGAAGAAATGACACTTTGCTACAATGTAAAGTAGTGAGTGTACAGCTTGTATAACAGTGTAAATTTGCTTTCCCCTCAAAATAACTCAACACACTGCCATTAATGTCTAAACCACTGGCAACAAAAGTGAGTACATCCCTAAGTGAAAATGTCCAAATTGGGCCCAAAGTGTCAATATTTTGTGTGGCCACCATTATTTTCCATCACTGTCTTAACCCTCTTGGGCATGGAGTTCACCAGAGCTTCACAGGTTGCCACTGGAATCCTCTTCCACTCCTCCATGATGACATCACGGAGCTGGTGGATGTTAGAGACCTAACAACAGCAGAAGACAACAAGAAAGCTAGTAGAAAAGCCAATGTGAGGACAGGCAGAAAACAAGCACAGACAGTGGACAAAGCTGGGATCAGTACACGAGTAGTCAGACACAGGATACAGAAGTAGCAACAAACAGGATTTCATAGAGCTATGAAGTTGCTAAGGCAATATGGATTAGATGGAGCATGTCTTATATAGGCAAGAAAACTAGGCAGCAGGCCAGGAAGTGATGGAAGGGAAGGAATTAAACCCCACAGAATAACAGATTATACCCATAGGTTAGCACAGCCAAACCACACATGTGAAATAAATCAGGGTAGGAAAAGCACTGCAGCAAAGAGGTAAGAATACACAAGCAAGAAACTGCAGGATATCTTGTGACAATAGGGATAAGCAAAACACCAATCTCAAAAAAATCATTAGTTTGTTTTGGCTACATAGAAAACATTTGTATCACTCGAACTTGTGCAAACACCTAAATGTAAACACGCTGATCAATATTTCTAAAACATGGCCTTTTGCTTGTCTTTATCCTGCCCTTGGGGTATTATTCCTGTCACAGACACCAAGAAGGAGGCACCATTCCTTTCACTGACACTAATAGTGGGAAACCATTCTTCTCACTGATATCAACATTGGGGAAATTTTGTTTCCACAGGCACCAATGATGCAACAATTTTCATCCAACAGACACCAGCAATGGGGCATAGTTTCTCCCACCAATATAAAAAATTAGGCACTATTCCTCCCACTAATACCAATGATGGGACATTATTCATCCTTCAATTGTCTACTGGAAGTGTGCAATTTTTTTACTCTCATTGATGTTGGGGCATTTTCTACACTGGCCACTCTGGGCCCCTTTAAGTTTGAAAGATAGTCAACTGGCCCTTTGTTTGGAAAGTTTGGAGACCCCTGTTCTAAATCATCAGATTTAAGAAACATTAAGTTGTGCAGTTACATTTAGGTGTTCTTATCACAAATTGAAGTGATACAAATATTTTCTATGTAGCCAAAAAAGCACAATTTCATATGTTTTCTAGGGATTTTGGATATTGATACTTTGCTCATCACTATATTCATTTTAGGATTGATTTGTTTATGATTAAACAATAGAGGCAACAGCAGCCATGCCTGTTTGGTGCCTTTTTGTAAGAAGGGATGGAAAAAAGAGAGTTTGGGTATTTTTTTCTAGCTGTAGGAATTATATACATTTGTTGGAAAAAAGGAAGAAAACATCCCTGTAATCCCGTTTTCTTGGTTATAGTGAATGTTTGCACACTCCAGACATGTAAAAACCTTGCATACAGTATATTGACTTCTAAACTATTAAAGTGGTTCTAAAGGCTGAAGGTTTTATACCTTCATGCATTCTATGCATGAGGGTAATTAACCTTCTCTGTGCAGCATCTCTCCCCCAGCCCCCATAATAGTCAGCTAAGCCAGCTCTCGATCCTCAATGTGCACTGGAGTCTCAGTTATCCCGGAACGCCCTCTCTTCATTGGCTGAGACAGAAGCAGGATTCATTGGCTCCCACTGCTGTCAATCACAGCCATTGAGCCAATGAGATGAGAGAGGTTGCAGGGGCCTGGCCACAGCTCTGTGTGTAAAGAACCAGCAAACACAAATGCTCCTGCGCTTGGGGATGGACTCGATGCTACAACCACATTAAGAATGTCCTGGAACATGCACACCTTGCTGCCCTCAAATGGACCGGGGGAATCCAAATATACTGAATGGGGAAAGAACAAAAAGAGGGCGCACAGGCCTAGTGCATTACCATAAAAAATGTTTAATAAGAGCCCTGAGGAAGAGGCAAGTCCTCAAAGCGCGTCAGCCTTTTGGATGTCTAAACTCCCTATTACGGACTGTTACTCAGCGCGGTGTTGATCCAGCTGTTCTTTTATGATGTGCCTTGACTATATTGTCGTTTGTGAGTACAACACCTACTTTATTTTTTATTAAACATTTTTTATGGTAATGCACTAGGCCTGTGCGCCCTCTTTTTGTTCTTTCCCCATACAGCTCTGTGTGTGATTGGACACATGGAGGAGTGAGGGAACCCGACAGGAGGGAGGGGCAAGGAGCACCAGCGGGGGTCCCGAGAAGAGGAGGATCCGGGCTGCTTTGTGCAAAATCATTGCAAAAGCAGGTAAGTATAGACATGTTTGTTAAGAAAAAAAAAAAGCCTTTAGAACCACTTTAAGTTTGATTTGAGCCATTCACTATGCTTCATCTGCTTTTTATAGTGCTGTAGGGTAGTTTTTTTCATAGCCTACTACAAATGACATAACTTTGCCTCTCATATAAGATTTGCCTGCTTCCCAAAAAAAGATTGAGGTTAGACCTATGCTCGCAATTATAGCTTATGTAGTCTGTTCAAGTCTTCATTGGTTACCGAATAAGAGGGGGATCTAAAAGAATAGAATGCGGAATATAAATACATATATATTTTTTTCAGTACTATTGATACTGGAGTATCATCTGCAATCTCATAGATAGAACCTGGGTAAAAGAATTGTAACACAGGGTCAGCATCCATAGTCTAGTCTGTCCAGGCAGGCACAACCTTAGCATAATGTGTGAAGTCAACATCTATAGTGTGTGTTGATCACCATAGATGATGTCAGCTAAATGAAAGGTGCGTGGATTTTGTTTTTAGAGCTATTTGAACAGATTTGTATTGAATTATGTCTTTGTTCTAAGTCATTGACCATGGTGTTGAAGTCTCCATCTATGGTATGATAAGTGCTAAGGTGCTTGGATAACCATGCAGTTAGTTTTTCTGGAACTATTC